TCATTTATACAGCTTCCTGAGTCTGCACTGCGTTGTTATTGTTTATTCATGTTCATATTATCTCTGTCTAGAGGAAGACACCTCAGGAAGGAGCCCATGATTATGTGCCTATAGCTGAACTGTGGCTGAGCCAAACTGGCCTACCAAGCCATCTCAGTTTCAATGTAGTATAATTTGGACGCAGTGCCTTGTCAGCCCCAGTACTGCCACTAAAACCATCTCCTCCAGCACCAGAGCTTTGCACTATGCTCAGTCCAATGGTGCAGGCTGGCTGGCTGAGGCCTTCTGGTGGTGGGTCTTGCTTCACGCTCAGGTATGTGGTGCTCAGGACCTCTGGCCAGGGCTGAGGCAGCAGAGCCCCATCACGTACTTGGATGAGAGACTGCTATGCAGCACAGGGTGATTGATACTGCATATGAAAAGCCAACAAAACAAACAGCACTATCATATAAAGCTTTGCATGCAGGGTAAGCCATGCAGTGGTGTTTTCTACTTCTAGTAATTTTTCCTTCCTTTTCCTTGAGTTAGATTTTGCTTCCTGGCTTTGAAGTACTTTAGTACTTCACTTTAATGTTCTGATACGCAGGTTTTATCTGGAGCATTATAAACTCTCTAGTTATCTCTCATTATCAGATGCAAAATATGCTCGATATAAAAGAAATGCTGCTTTAGCAAAAATAATACCTCATATAAAGACAAAACTGGAAGCAATAAATTAGCCAGGAGCAGGATCAAGGCTGCTCTTCCCTGCTAGCAAGCTGCACGGCTGAGGTTGTTTTGTAGGAAGGGAGTGAAGATGCTTATCTTACATGAACCTCAAACAGAGGTCTCAGAGGAGAACAGAAATGCAACAAGAAGAGCAATTCCTCATGGAGACAAAAAGCTTGTTTGTGGGAAAAGAAAAACAAAAGACAGAGAAAGGGAAGGAAAGACATGTTAATATTGAAAATACAGAGAAGGAATTCTGCTGTATGCAGGAAAAGGACTGAGTGATGCATGCAATACTTCAGGCTCAAACCTCATCCAGCTTCAGAACACTCAGCTTCTACTTCTGCTGGTGGTGCTCAGACTGCAGAGCACAATGGCTTGAGCCCTATCCTAGTCCTCCAAAGTGGACAGTTGGTTCTGGGTACTGGACAGCATGTAAGACTTCCGTTTCTATCTGCCTGGTAGCTCGCGGTTGAAGTGATCCATTATAATCAGTGAGAAGCAATAAAATAAACACTGTTTTTGCAGCATCCCTACTGTCTGTCAGAGCAGTCAAGTGCATTGCCAGTGCTGCCAAGCTCACTTACAAATGGTCATGTTAGAGGCACAGTGAGGCACGTAAAAATGGTGGGATTTTGGTGGTCAGCATCTATGTGGTATCAAAAGTGAAAGCCAGGGAATGACTCCACCAAACGAGTAAACCTAGTCTGCAGTGTATTGCTGGAGAGTTTGTCTGTCTTTCTAGGTGTCTTATGTGGGTATTGTCACACTGCAAAAAGTAATAGGTGTCAACTTGAACATCTATTCTTCAGGGATCTCTGCACCATTTTCTCGAATCTCTGTCCCACAGAAACTGTGATTCAGCAACAGTGTGGGTTTTTTGCAAGAATAGGGTGAGTTTGCACAAGAGACTGCTTAATGCCAATAATTCACCATGTTTTCATCCCCCATAAGCTATAAGCACTATTTCTAATACTTCTTTGCCTCTGATTCCCCCCTCTCTTTTTCTCTACTTTTGTGCATACTAACTGGGAATGTATTTTTATGTGCCAGTATCTCTTCTAAAAGGATTTTCGCCCACATGAAAACAAGGTAATACCTCAGCTTACTGTGATAGCAATCTTACATTTTTGCAGACATTTACTTGTAGTTTAACAAAAGAAATGAACAGAGAAAAGCAAGATCTCGGCTTCCTCTGGAGAAATCTGAAATGCTAATTAAACAAAGCTGCTTGCAACTTTGTTCTGTACTTGTATTTCTTGAAAACACAAGGGAAATTCATTCTCACAAATATATTGAATATACTGGTGACACGTTGTTGGAGCAAACTTTTTGGAACAAACAGTAGTGCTTTTTGAATACTTTCACATTTTAAATATGTCCAATGAATAATCTGTTTAATTTCCAATAATGTTGGCATGTTCTTTTTCATATACTTCGGTGTTATTGCTTTATAGTCCCACTGTTAAGTGCAAGAGAAAGAAGGTTGCATGCAATCAGAGTTAAATTGTAGGTTGAACATCATTTTGGCTGTGATTATTTGGATAGATTAGATCTGCAGATTTTACAGTCTTTAGGAAGAATGGTCTGTCTGCAGGATCCGTTATTTTGAAGGCTGCACAAATAGTTTAGGAAGCTGAGTCAGAGCCACACAACACATCATATATGATTTCAGACAGTGAAAATATTTACTTTAACCTCAGATAATCACAGAATCATAGAATGGCTTAGGTTGGAGCGGACCATAAATATTGTCTAATTCCAAACCCCTGCCATGGTTTGAGTTACCAACCATCAGATCTGATTTCCCAAGGCCTCAATCCTACTTGGCCTTGGATGCCTCCAGGAGGGACACTCACAGCTTCTCTTATGCCAGTGCCTCCTCACTCTCTGAGGAAAAAAATTGTGCCTAAACACCTAACATAAATCTCTTCTATTTTTATTTAAATCTATTCCTCCCCGTTTTATCATTGTCAGATTGTGTAAAACGTCAGTCTATCTCCTACTTTTAAGCTCCTTTCAAGTACTGGAAGGGCACAGTGTGGTCTCTCCAGGGCTTTCTTCTCTCCAAACCAAACAAGCCTGACTCCCTCAACTTTTCTTCATAGGAGAGGTGCTCCAACTCCTTGGTCACCTTTATCACAGTATATTTGCAACCAGTTTCTAAAAAAGAGGCCTTGTTCTGTGACCAAATTAAGATATACCCTTACTGAGGTCCACTCAGTAAGTGTGTGTCTGTGCCAGTTACATGTTTCACTGAGCTGTACCTCAACTCCCTTGCAAACTTCAGAGTTGGTTGCTTCTTATGATAAAGCAGTCAGTGGTGATGTTAAAAGAATACTTTTTGCAATACCTTAGGGATAACTGCAGAAGAATTTGATCAGTTGTGTTACTCTGAACTTCTAGTAACTGCACAGGAAAGCCCCAGGTGGGGCTTGTATTTCACTGTTTGAATCTTCTTACAACTAAATTCTTTATTCAAACAAATGTGTTGTCCAGGCATACTTGTTATTCTGCTTGTGTGGACTATTACACTGCCTTTCACAAGATGAATCAATTGAATAAAATGACTGGGGTTTGCTGACTGTGTTAATGAAGATGTGCTTCCAACGATCCTTAGAAACAGGCAGTGGTTACATTAGCTCTGTAACCAGGAGGTATGCGAGCAGCTGCTCATAGGAGCACTTCCATTTAAACTTCCTGCAGGAGATCAGCTCTGATGAAGTGCAGCAAAATCAGGTAGTGAGCACGCAGCTTCAGTTCTAAATGCACAAAGCCATCTCAGAGGAGAGCAATTTGCACAGCCTCTCTTCATGTGTGCAACCCCACTGTTTTCACCATTTACCTACAAAAGTAACGGCTCTCTTCCCCATAGTAGTGTGTTACGTATTGAAGTGTATTAAGATGTCAGAGTTTCAAAACCTATTCTGTGATCTGGACGCTTATGTCACATGGACTTTCAGTGGAACTGGAAGACTGGTGTCACTGAGGCAGTCTTGGGAATGACAGTGGAGGACCCCTTTTGCTAACATGTGTAGAGTAGTCAGTGCTACCTGAGTGACCAGTTTTACAGTTCATTCTTCACATGCTTACATGTTTCTGATTCTTAGGGTGTTCTGTTTCTATCTGCTTCTCTGTTTGCCTAGATATAGCTTTAAAGACTTTCCTTTTTCTTTTTTAAACAAAGAATGGCTGCTGATGAAAGGAATAAGAATCACAATTAAATTAAGCATAAAATGGCACTGTAGAATTATTGTTCAGCTTTGTTGCCTGAAAGAGATGATTGGCTAAAGATTTTTACCAGAGGATGCTGTCAGTAATTCAAGTTGCTGCAATTGCATTAATGTGAACATAAGAAAGTCAGAAGCAGTTGTTTTTCTGCCATAAAGTAGCATTTCTTTCTGAGAGCATACAGCAGATAGAAAATGTCAACTTTGTTATTCTCTGTGGAAAAGTAAAGCCTCTTTCGTCACAGAAAACAATTTCTATTTAAAAATTATCTGTGACAAATGTGACAAATTTGAGAATGTTTGGTGTGAAAGAATCTCCAGCATTGCAGAAGATGTTTCAGAACTGGTGAGAATGGAATAGGTTTTCAAGCATAAGGTCATGTTATTGTTGCTTATGGAACTATTGTTGTCCTAAAAACAGATCATTTTAATAAAAACTGGTCACTACTTGTGTAGCTTAGTGTCTTTTCCATACGATGAGACATTCTGGTACATGCAGATATTCAGAAGAGAAGAACCTATCACTGCCAAGTTTTAGTCTATCAATCACGAAGCTGTCACTTCATAATCTGTGTAGTACTTACCTCTTTACTATGGGCCTGTGTGACTTGAGTGGTTTTTGAAGGAGTGGAAGATAATTCCTCCTATAGGCCAGTACAGCAGTAAACCATGACTTTGTATTAGTTTAAATATCTGTTAGTGCAGTTATTCTGTTATCTGCAGCGCAGCAGCAGTAAAGATGTTTACATTTTTTATTTTCATAGAAAATTCATGTTTTTATAATTTTATTTCCTCCTTTTTTATTTTTTCTTTATGAAAGCTTTTATAACTTCATTTTTAAATGCGGCAGTTTTTGTACCTTTTTACCTTAGTTGTTCTGTGTTGTTCTCTTGTGTCTAACAGTACTAATTCGTATTCCTGACAGGTATAAGTTTATCTATTCATGGGGCTGAAAAGCGTGTGCAAATCTGTCAGCGGAGGACTGCAGCAAGCTACCCAGTGTCACAGCGTCCACCTGTGGTTGGGCACCCTTCATTACCACAAGTCAGAAGGCCAATAAGCATGGAAGCCTCATCAGCTGGATCGAGTAATCCAACAGCCTCTGGTGGAAAAGCAAAAACCCACCAGCCAGGTAACAGATTTGATGTGGCACTTTTTCAGTTCCATTTCTTGCATAGTATGTCATTGCGTTGTGAAGCTGGTGTCAGTAGCATTAGATCACACGTGCATAAAGATCAGTCTGTTGATCATCAGAGCTATAGATTGATGTTCTGTGTATGTTTTCTGTGTTTTTGATAGTTACAGATTGCACTGGGAATACCAAGAGTTGGGACAGCTGAACACAGAGAATGAAAACACAGGTTTAAACCATTAAAAAAAAACAACCATAAACAAATCTATAGTGGTATCCAAAATGTTAATGCAGAAAGAAAATTGAATTATTGTTTTTGCATACTGCAACCTTTCTATACACTTTATTTTAGCCATGAGCTGATGGCAATGCTATAAAGACTACGGGCATCCCTATGGAACTCTGTATTTGACACTAACGTTGGTTTTGAACTAAAGATGTGACACAATGCCGAGTGCAGACCAAAGTCAGTCTGCCAGAATGAAAACAAATCTCTAAATCTGTAGGACATTTTGCAAACTGTGTTAACTGGTTAGCAAAATGAAATTTTTTAAAAGAAACCTGAGTCTCTTGGGTACTATCAAATTCTTAGTGACATCATGAATTCATTCCTTGTTATGTTAACTACCAGAATTATTTCAGAAGTTGTTTGTTTTTTTTTTTTTAGAATAGAGTAGTGCATTTGTGCTGGCCATGTTCAATTTTTTCAAAGTGAAAATTAAACTCTTAATTTCTATCCTGAGTACAGTGAATTATGACTGCCCATGAGGTCCGTTTTGTAGATTTTATATTGAGGGGTTTTGATAATCTTCCACCCTTGCTGCCCAGGAAAGGAGATAATGCCTCCATAGCAGAAGTTGGGGTGCCATGGGACAGAGTCCATTTGTATGAGACAGAGTTCTCTGCCTACAAACCCTCAGTATGCTTCCATTATCTTGCAGACCTGGGGCATTCCTTAATTTTTGTACAAGTTGAAAGTTTAGATTATTTTGATTTGCTATGTAGCTCTATTTCCATGAGTTTCACATACGTATACTATTCAGACTCAATAGCCTTTGTCAACATGGGTTAATTAAGAATTTACGGTGACTCATAACCATTTTCTTTGTTTATTTCTGTTCTTCTCTTCACTTGTTTGTCCTGTTTTTTTTAGCTTCCATGTTTTGTCTTTGAGGTACAGAAACTACTACTGCATACGTTATTGCTGCTCAATATATATTACAAAGACTGCAGCATGATAAAAGATCAATTAAAAAAGACAGCACCACAGTTTGTGAAACAAGCGTATTGTTCATGCACAGTAGGTTATGCTAATCACATTAATTTTGAGCTGCTACACGTTCTACACCTATATGTCAATAGATATGGCCTGTGCATTAGCACTAAATAATGCATAAGCAACATATGCTGTTTTTTGATTGAGAAGAAGATCCCTTTTTATGTAGACCACGGAGGTTTCCTAAAATGGAGTTCATTAGTGAGCATCATTTGGATGATGCTTCTCTGAGGAATTCAGCTTTCAGTACAGTCATATGAGATTAGTTTTGTCAATCATATCCTGTGCTTTAGACAGTAAAAGCATCCATAACCTTCAGAGAACATTCTCAGTGGCTTAGTTCAAGGAGGCATTTTCTATCATAAGCTTCACTCAAGTTAACAGGAGTTAATAGAACCTAGAAACTTGAGGGCTGCAGACTTTCAAAAATAGATTTTATGGCAGGAATCCTATTTTATACAACTTACAATGTCATTATTTCATCTGAAATTATTTGAATCTGATTGTTCATTTCTGTTTGAGAATACTAAATTTTTCTGTGTCTGATTTGAATTACAACCGTTAAAGCTGTGTTCAAGTAGACTGTTAGAAAGATTATGGTCAGTCAACAACAGTAATAAGTAGAACTATTAGGAGAGAGAAAAAAAAACAAAACTGAAATCATATGTTATTAGTTTCTATTCAGCAAGAAATTATCAGCTCTAACTACATAAAAAATCTTCCTAGTACACTAGTTGGCCAATGGCAGTACCTTATGAAATGCTGTACATTATAAATAGTTTGGTATTTCAGAGTGATCATTATTCTGACATATATAAATTACCCAGGTAAAATAGCTTACATGGTCAATGGCAAGGGAACACCTACAGTTTTCTGGAATGATGATGGAAGGCTACTGTGGTCATTGGGGCCCAGTGACAGAAACATTTTGTTAGTCTCTTGGCTTTTAACATAAATACTACCCAATATAGAAGTTGTAATCTTTAAAGGAAGATGCATGTTGCTTTTGGCATTCTTTTCTTGATTTTTGAATTCTCTTTTTTTTTATTTCTTATTCAATTGCACAATTTTTATTTATGCTTGTAATTGCTGGGCATGAAATAAGAAAGAAGTAGTGACATTGGCCAACAGAACAATTGACTCTAGGAGGCAAGAACAAATGTGCAGATCTTGAAACTATTGCAATCAAAATTAAAGCAAAAGAGGAAATGTATGTTTTATGAGCTTAGTCACAATGTAATGAACTTTGAATCATCAAGGAAGCTAGAACTGAGCCCTATCAAACTGATAATTTAATGTGCAAAAGATATCCTTTCCTCATCATAAAATTTGTACATGCTTGTATGTGTTCAGTGTTCTTCAGAATATGTATGTTAGATATGATTTGTTGGTTCAATCACATTCTCTGTTCTTTGCTGACTGGCAAGGCGTATGGCATACATCTCCCTCAGATTAAAAGAATAAATTCCTGCAAATAATTCTGCCAGAAAGCTCTGTCATGAAAATATTTCTTGGCAGAAAATGCATGTAAGGCATGGGAGTAACTGATGTCAACTCACCTGAAAATTTACAATCCCATTGGCAGCAGTGCTGTTATCTTGCTTGTATAACATGCTTAGGGACACAGCCTTTTTCAGTGTTTTCTGGTGGGTGTATATGAGAACTTTCTCTCATATGGAATGAAGCATAGAAAAACGAAGCAGATTTCAAATAAGTTTAACATTCCCTTCATTAATCTTATTTGTGCATTACAAAAAATAGAATACTCACAAGAAATGGCCCAGTGCAGTAGTACCTTGATTCATATCAAAAAAACATCTCCAGATACTTAACTTTTCTTTTTATTTACACCTGTATTCAATAGGATGCAAGTTCAATGCTCCAAACAAATTTTTTCCTACACCTGCACTTCAAGTGTTAGCTGGAAATTCTCTTCTGAACACAGGGAGAGTTTCTCCTGACTATTGGTGACCAGAACCTCTGCAAAGCTGCTAAAGGGGCGAGCAGTTGGCTGCAATTACAGTGGGGACCTTTTGTCCCTGGGCTGAATGGCAGGTCGTCAGATGGTCATTATGGGCTACTTTGGGTTTAAAGATTGAACTAGATAGTGCATGACGAAGAGACTGAAATCTTCTGTCACTTTGCTTAGTCATTCAGCCCAATTCATTCATTGCTTTCCTTTTCTTAGGGCAGAAGCCACTTATTCAAAAACACCTGCTCCTAATGAAAAAAAATCTAGAGGATAAAGGATATTTTTCAACGCTCTCTCTTTTATTTATTTATTTTTAAAAAAATTGGTTTAGGCTCAAATTTCATTCCTCCTGCATTTCGGTTTGTGCTGTGCCTGACACACAAAAGTACTGATCCTGCCTGGGATCTGTGCATGCCCTCAATAAGGAACTTCAAAACTAATATTAGTAATTTTAAGTGGTGTCTTTGAGGGTGTTCTATTTCTCTGGCAATGTATTTTTAAACTCATCTCTTTTCAAATACTTCATTTTTTCCCTTCCTGCTTTGATCAGCCTCCTGTTTGCTGTTGTAAAATGATCTTTCATTCATTCTTGCAATCAATTATATATGGTTACTTTAGAATCAGTGCAGCTCACCCTCCAATTTCAGCTCTCAGAGCTGCTGTTAGTTTACGTCATGCATTTAGCTCACAAAAGCTGCAAAATGCCAGTCCCTCTGCATGTTCTCAATCATTTCACCCTTATAAGGTTTCCTTGCAAAGTGTAACATCTGGAATGAAACTGGTAGATGTGACTTTGCACCAAATAGGGAATACTGCTGATCCCAAGAAAAGGTTATAGTGTCCTAAGACCGGTGTACCATAATTGTCTTAAAACAATGAAGAATATTTTTGACAGTACTAATTTTGCTGAAGAAAACAGACAGTAGATTTAAATAAAATGCAAATAAATAAAATGTTTCTGAAAAATTAGAGAGCCATTTTATTAAAAACAAAGAGTTTATCATCTAGGAAGCAGTCAAGGAGACCTTGAATAATTAGTCAGTATGTTCCTGTAATGCTTGGCTAATGATTTTTCTTAGATATAGTTCTAAATTAAGTACGACTTGGTATTACATAAGTCTCTATTTCAAATGTAAAATATGCTTCAAAAATCCCAGGGAAAGATTTTTGGCTGTCAAAAGACGAAACAGACTAAATTCTGCTTTAGCAGAAATGTTTTTAAGGTCAGAACATTAATTTGTCTGTAACAAAGCTGCTCGGTGATAATTTCCTCAAAGGGTTTCTTGCCATCTGTATGGGAACTGCTGAGTCACGGCCTGAACCTCTGATTGATCACCTGAGGTGAGCCATGAGTCAGCCAGAGGAGCACAGCTGAAGGCAATTCACCTGTGCTGCCGGAAGGGGTGGAGCCAGGCTGCACTCCTCCTGGACCTATTTAAGAGCTGGCTACCAGAGGGGAAGGATCTCTTCTGGAGATCACCTCTCTTGGTATCTTCTGGTGAGCTCAACCCAAGGGTAAGCTCTTCCACTCATTCTCTTTTTGTGATCGTTGTCTGCTTTGCCTTACTCTCTTGGTTATGTTGCAATTATAACATCTTGATATCTATTGATTATACACAATTATATTGTGATTATAACATCTTGGTTATACACCATCCAAAGGACAGCAAGACCTCTCCCCCAAGCCCAGTGCTTCATTCTTTAAACCTTTCTGTATCTACTTACTTGAGCAAGTAGATTAGTATAATACAA